CGCGGTCGCCGCAGCTCAGCCACTGCTCCAGGCAGTTGCCCACTTCCTCGGCGATCACTGGCACGTAGCACTGGAGCGCCTCGCGGCTGAAGGCCCGCATAATCACCTGGGCTCCGAGGAGAGAAGGGTGCTGAAACCGGGCGCTACACGCCCCTCTCGTGCCAGGGTCCCCTTCCAGTCAGCCCCCACCCCGTCAGACCCAAGGCACTTCCTGCCTGGGAAACCTACACTGCGCTTGAGCGGCTCCAAGCCAACGTCTCCAGCAGCTAGCGCTCAGCCAGCATCTATCTGCCTGAACCACTCCGGCGAACTAGGTCCCCCTTCCTGTGCTGGCGCTGCCATCCCCGCCCTCACCTTCTTCCGCCGCTTGTGCGAGGAGTCGTGCAGGTTGGAAAGGCAGCCGGAGCCCAAGATGGTGCGCACCGACGCGGGCCAGTGGACCGACACTAGTCGGTGCTCCCCGAGCAAGATGCGCCGCACGTTAGCGGCGCCCATCACCCGCACTGTGGGCCGCCCGAACAGATGAGTCTTGTAGATGAAGCCGTATTTCCTGCGCTTCATCTGCAGGAACTTCCTTCGCTACGAGAGCGGAGAGGAGGGCGTGAGGGGGCGCCGGGGAGCGCCGCGCCTCCAGCTAGTCCCGATCTTAGCCCATCACTTCCCTCTCTGGGTCGCCTACCCGGACTTCAGTGGAGGCTCGGAGCCGAGTCAGGCTCGGAAGACTCATCTTGTCCCGCCCCAAGCTCCCTTACCTGTAGCACCATCTGCAATGTTTCCCCAAAGAAGGGGAAGCCCATAGTTCCGGGGGGCAAAGGGAGGGCGCAGCTGCGGTCGCGGCTGCTCACGCAGTACAGGTCCCAGAGCTTAATCGCGGCTAGGAAGAGCAGCAACGGGAGCACGAAAGTGCAGAGCGCACTGGCCAGCAACGCCGGGAGCCCCATGGCACGCCGCGGCCTCCCACGCCACCTGCCGCCGCCGCCAGCGCTCCAAACCCTGCCCGCGCCGACTTTATAGGCGGCCCAGGTTGCTGCTCACGTTACCTTGGTCAAATTAGCTCACCCAAAGTTCATCTTTAATTGCGGATTGGGCCCCTGGCTCCTCCCTCCGCGAGGCGCTGCCCAAAATCTTTAACCGTTTGTTCCGCGCCAAGGCAGAGGCGGCGCGGTGGCAGCTTCCCTCGGAGCGCGCCTCCTGGGGTGAGGGGCTAGAAGCAGTCTGCCTCCCCAGTACAAGATGTGCGGAGCTCCGAGACGTTGGCAGGGGCCGACCGGAGCTCCAGGGAGCCGGAACTCCGAGCCCTGGGCTTTCTGGCGGGCTCTTAGGATTCCTCCGGCCCGCTACGACGGGAGGTCCCAGTCGAGAGCTGCCCTCACTAGCTTTCCATTTACAGGCACTGCGTGGGCTCCCCTACACCTGCTGGGGGAAGCAAAGGAAAAAGCGTTCAGGGAACGACCAGCGGCCTCGCCCCACAGGTGGGCAAATTGAGGTCCAGAAAGCAGAGCCAAACGCAGGCCTCCCGACTCTTCCGAAGATCCCACAGAAAAGCCCAGAGCCAGAACCCAAGCGAGAGCTGCGGGAAATCAGCCATGATCCGCGTATCATGAATCCCAGCTCTGCAATCCCCTCAAGAAGGCCAGCACTCGCCAAGGCTTGGAAGGTCCTACTAAAAAGTTCAAGAGAGCCTCAAGTTCCCTCAGGACTCCAGGTGCTACCCTGCACAAGCCCGAGCCCCAACTCTGCGCCCCAGTAGGGGACCGCAATTCATCCGCGGCTCCGCAGCCAGCACCCGGCAATTTGGCCACTGCTGGCCGGCTTCCGAGGGCCGTGGGGCCTGCAGCCCCAGCTAGGCTGAGGGAAGAAGGTCCTCAGCCCTGGGAGGGTAAGTGGACAGAGAGGAAGAAAAGCCCGCCAGTCTGGGCTCCGAGGCCCCGCTCCATCTCTTCTTGCATGACCTTGGACAAGTCACCACACATCCTCCCTGTTCCTCCTCCTCAATATGGAGGTGATCATACCCGACCTGTCTGCACCTCTGAACAGTTGTGAGTTTCCAAAAGCGGCTTCTGGTTGCAAATACGATTCCTAGCTCGGGGCACGCTAGGCGAAGTTACTAGGGTGACCTGAACTCTGGACACTGTAGCCCACCTCCACTCTCCCAGCCCCCACTCCGCGTAAAGCCACGCAAGTGAGCGATCCTAAACCTAGGCTTCTGCCTGCCTCTGATGGGAGTGTTGAGGGAATCTGTACTGGGAAGCAGGTCTTCGGGCTTTAGCCCAGCTACAACCAGCCGCTACTGCAGCCAATGCCGGGATCTCGGGCACTGCAGGAAGGCACGTGCGCTCCCCGCCAGCCCGGCCCACTTGCTCCCTTGGTTTGAGCGCCGAACGCACCAGAGGCGCCGAAAATGAAACAGAATGATGTCCGTTTGTTTAATACTGAACTCTGCGTACGTCGCACGCCTTGGAAAGCGTCCCTTGGAGATGGGAAACCCTTTGATTCTAAGAGCTGTTAAATATGTGGCCCTCCCGCGGTGGTCCCCAAAGCCGGAGTGATCGGGAAACGTGTGCGGAATCGTAGGGACGACTGCACAGTCCCCGCAACTCCCCAAACCCTGTCGCCCCAGGACTTGATTTGGAGATTGACATTTTCCCCATAACCCAACTCCGAATTTCAGAAGTTCTGGGGAAGAGCTCCTTGTCATTTCTTTTCCCAGTGTTTCCCAGTGTTCATTCTTCTAACGATTTGGCTGCCAACTTCTGGGTACCGGCAGGAACGGGGGCGAGAAGCGAGAGAGGTAATTCTCAGAAATCCTGGGCCCGCCCCCTTCTGGACAGTGCCTGCCGCCGGTGAGCAAAGCTAGCGGGTGGGGGCGTGACCTGGGGCCCATTCGCAATCCTCCGGCCTGACCCGCCTATGACCTCTGCAGGCCGGACCGTGACATCCGAGTGAACTCTGCAAGGCCACCTCGCCAAGTTCAGCGCGCGCCGTGTCAGAAGATGAGCGGGGACTGCGCGCTGAAAATTGCCACAGGGGTAAAAAATGTTTTAATCTATCTGCCCATCGACACCCGCGGGGGCATCCGGCGGGGGCGACCGGCCGGAAAGGATTAAAGAGGAGAGTTAAGATCATTAAAGAACATCTTGAAGAGAGGAAGGGGTCAATAAATTACCAGCCCAATAAGAACTTTGATCTAGAAACTTTGCCAAGCTTTCTTGGGTGGTTGTGGATGGGGAATGGGGGGTGGTTCACTGGAAAACAAAATGTTTCCAAGATGTTTACAAAACAGCCTCGCTGTTGCTCAGGGCCAGGAGATGGAGAGTGAGAGCCCAGGGCTAGACTGCAGTCAGGTGAGCTCGGGCAGCTGAAGCAGCCTCCTCTTTCCTCCCGTCTCTAGAGGGCTCTATACCTGCTATTCCTCTGCTTGGGGGCACCCCTCTCTCAGGTCACAGCTGGCTGCTTCCTCCCAAAGGCGAATGTCGCTTCCTCAGAGAGTCCTTCCCCTCCCACCCTGCCGAGTTTAGCCCCAGGCACTCTGTATTACAGGCATGTTTTATTTTTTCAGCAGCACTTACCACCATGGGACATATTCTTACTCTTGTTTGCTAGTTTATTTATTGTCTACCTCCTTCCTGAGAATATCGAATCCAGGAGGGCAAGAACCACAACAGCCCCTTCCTCAGAGAATCTGGAGCTACTAAAACAAGAGCTCAGATATTCCCTCCTCAAATTACTGAAAATGATGTATCAGTGGGAAATCAGAATAAAATTGGAGCTACCCCCACAGGTGCTTATAGCTAGTATATATCCCAGAGCAGGTAAACCAGGTCTCCTGGCCCCAGCTACACAGTCAGGGCTCCCTCCCTGTATTTATCTTCTCTCTCCAAATCAGAATGTCCCCCAAGCGTTCGTCCTCCCACCATCTCACCCCAGTGGAGCCTCTCAGCCTGGGCTGTTGTCTCTGCAGCCTCAGGAGCACCCTGAGGGCAAGCTCCAGTTTTGCCACTTCTACTGTCTCCAGCGCTTGCAGAGCCCATGGCCTGGCGCCAGGGCTGTGGTCAGCAGTGGGTGATGAATTGCCCTGGGTGGGGGTTATGGTGGTGTCAGCCAAGCTGGGGAGGGCCTGCTGAGCTCTTGAGCTACCGACCCTGCCAGTGCCTGCTGCTTTCCCCTTTCCTTCTGGCCCCGGAATTCACCTTAAGCATAAGGTCAGGAGGGCACCAACTTCCTTCTGGTTCACTAAGGGGTCAGCTCAGACCTGGGCGGCAACTTCCCTGGCTTACCCATCATGTCCAGCTGTGCTGGCCTGTCTGAAGATGGGTGGCACCTTGCAGAGGGCTGTTGGGAATGATGACACTGGAGGCTCTTGGCTTTTGATTTAAGCCCTGGTGGGAACCTCTGTGCTGGAAAGGTCCAGAAGGATTCCTTAAACCAACCTGGGGATCACTATGAAAGAATAAAAGGGCAGAGCCCTACATGGTGGCACAAGCCCAAAGGGTAAAGAGGGGAGTAAGTGGAAAAGAGCACTGGCCAAGGAGTCCAGAAGCCCTTTGCTGGCTCCTCAGGGAAGTTCATCTCAGTTTCTCCTCTGTAACAGAGGAGGTGGAGGTAGTAAACAGTAGGTCCCTGCAGTCAGCTACCACAGAGATGATTTGCAGCCCAGATCTCAGTGCTGTGCTCAGGAGGAAAGTCTCAGTAGCCTGGGCAGCAGAAAGCCCCAACTCCTGGCCCCTCTCTGGGCATTACTCTGGGGTGGGTCTTTCTTGGGCCACCCCCACACCTTTCCACCAGAGAGCAGTTGCCCAGCTAAGTCCTAGCCTCTTCATTCAACTGCTGCCAGGAAACTTTATTTCTTGACCTTCCTGTTCTTGGTGCAAATACCAAACCTCTCTGATTACGTCTCAGTCTCCCATGAAAATAATCCAGCCTTTGAGACATCTCCGTGTGGCTATTCTACCTGTATAAGTAGGAAGACTGAACGCATTCTTGAAATAAATTTTTCTTATTTAATAAGTTGCCAGCAGAATCCGGTGATGTGGAGCGTTTAGAGCTCTGGGAAGCGCTCATAGTTCTGAGTTCCCCCGCGATGGCAGAGTGGCCACGTGCAACAAGCAGAGGCCAGCTGCCCGGGGCCTTCCGTTGGGTACCTTATTGGTGTCTTCCCAAGGCCCAAAGCCAGGCCAGGGACGCACTCCCGGCATCCCCGCTTCCTCACAGGGTTGCAGGTCCAGACGCGTTTGCCGGATCTCTGGCACCGTCCAATCCTCCCTTGGGAATCCTCCCATGGCAATCTTCCCCGCGGCGCCTCTATCCATGCACTCTCCCGGGCTTGGTGCGGGAAGGCGAGGCCCCATAATTCCTACTGGAGATCTGTCCCCTCAACCCCTGCTTTGAGATCCTGGGAAGGCCTTGAGAGACTTGGCCCATGACCTTCCCTTCCTCAGGACGCGGAGCGCAGGAGGCACCTTCCCACAAGTCTGGGCGCTTCTCCCGCACGGTGGCAGGGTGACTTGCGCTCCTTGTCCCCGAGTCCGGCACGCAGCCGCATTCGGCAGACTGTTGAACGAGTGAGTGAGCAAGAGCCGGAACCAGCACTGGGAAACCGCAGAGGGGCGGCGCTGCGAGTGCGTCGTTGCCACTGGCCAAGTCCTGACCCGCTGCAGAGGGTCAGAGGCGTAGCCCATCTCGCACTGCAGAAGGCGCAAGCGGATGGAAAAAGAGTCGAAGCCCGTCCACCGGGTGCACGATGGGCACGGTCTGCATGGCGGGGAAGACAGGCGTGGCCAGTTCCCAGCGCGCCGTGCGCACTAGCTCCACCGCGAGCAGCTGGAGCACTGCCTGCGCCAGCTCCTGGCCGAGGCAGCTGCGCGCTCCTCCGCCGAACGGGATGTAATGGAAACGGCCGGAGGCGCGCCGCGCATCCTCGCCCGGCGCGTGGAAGCGCTCGGGGTCGAAGCCCTCAGGCGGGCTGCGGTACACTGCGGCCGTCTCGTGCGTGTCCCGGATGCTATACATCACGCTCCAGCCCTTAGGGATCTGGTAGCCCTGTGGGAGGGAGGAGACCTGTCTGACCACAAGGCACTTGGAAACCCGACCTGAACCGACCCTCCACCCCGGGGTCATCCAACAAGCTTCTGAAAACCTTCAGGAAAGCGCGTCTAACCCAGAAGCTAGGGCACAGCTCTAGGTTCCAGTCCCAGCTCCTTCTCTGGGGAGCTATTTGACCTTGAACTAGATATTCAATCTCTCTGAACCTCGGTTTCTTAATTGATAAAATGAGAAAAGTGCCTATTTTGTTGTGAGGATAAAATAACGGGTCTGGCATATTTATTAGTGGTCAGTGAATATGTTCTATTATTATTTGTATTTCAGTGTCATGATTTTGCTTTCCCTTATCTTCTGACATTAGATCGGGAGACCTAAATTCTAGTCCTGTGCCTACTAGCAGCCTGAACCAGAACAACATAAGTAACAGGGACCCCCATTTCTTTATGGTCAGCAAAATTATAAAACTCCTCTTTGCTTCTCTATCCTCCCCATTCGTCAGCTGTACAATAATGTGCAGGTCTGGTAGCCACACTTTAAGAAGGTGCACATGAGAATTAAACTGGGGAGTCTTAAAAATGTTGGAAGATAGTTTTCCTGTTCCCTCTGCCCACCTCCAGTTTTTTCAACTATTCCACATTTTGATGAGTCTTCCAGCACCTGACTGTCCTGCTTCCTTTGCCTCAACAGGCCTCAGGGTATCTACTTGGAGGGTCTCTACAGGCGGGCAGATCTTGAAGTCATCAAGGAGCTTTCTCTCCTCTCTGAGCGTCAGTTTCCCAGCGGTAAACTGGAGGATGGTTAAGACCCCAGCCCTCTGCCCTCCCTGGTGGACTTGTGCTCCTTTCTCTGTTTCCCTAAGGTCTTGTAGGGCACCCAGCACCTGCAGAATGAAGTCTGAATTTCAAGAGGCAGCATCCAAGATATTTCTATACACCTCACTAATCCATCCACCTTTGGGTTGTCCCCTCTCTGTAGTGTGCTGTCCCCATCCTAACCCTTCATTGCTTCAGCTCAGATGCCAGTCCCCAAAATGTTTTGGTGTCATTCAGCATTAGAGATCACTTTCTTCCTTACACCATAGTTTGGGATGAAGCAGTTGACGCTGGCCCCCTTTCTCTCCATGATGATTTCTTCTGGAACAGAATCCCAGTCCTTAATAGCCCTCAAACCCTGGTGTGCAATGCACAATGGATGTTCACTGTTTAAAAGTCATGGAAGGAGGTGCCCACTCCCTGCCTGGAGCCTCACAGCCACTGAGCTGGGACAGAAGGAGAGTATAGCCACAGCCATTCAGACCAGCACCCCCAGTCTGATGATGCTAGGTGCTCCAATGCCTGATGCCGTTACTGTACCCACAGTCCCGGCCACATCTGGAGTGTCAGAGCTGGAAGAGACCAAGACAGTGTACTTTCAAAGAGTAAACTGAGGCCCAGAGTGAGGAGGGTATTGTCCAATGTCATACAGAGATGGAGCCAGGCCTAAACCTTAACCTTCTTGCCCAGCCCAAGCCAATCTGATTAGAGCATTGAGAGTCACCTGTATCATGGCCCCGGTTCCCTGGGATCCAATCTTAGCCTAGGCTCTGGATAGGTAAAGGCAATTGGCTCCTTCATCTTGTGAAGGAGACAGAGGGGTGAAGTATGGGACAGTGTGGGGTTCTCTTTGTTCCCCAGCCAGGACACTGGCGAAGAGGGGGGTACTGCGTGGAGAAAAGTGTTTTTTTACTCTAAAACCCGTTTCTAATTGAGTTGATCAACCCGCACCTCACCTCTGACAAAAGCTTAAGTGCACCGCGTCCCTAACCATGTTGGCTGACCAGGCGCTAGACTCTGCGACCCTCAACCGTGGATCTGCGTAAATGGAATAGAGCTCAGCCCATTTTACAGGCGGGAAAGCAGAGGCTCTGAGAGGAAAGGACACCTCGCCGTCCTAGTCCCCCGCTCTCCGCCCGCCGGGGCACCGCGGCAGGCGGCAGGAAGCCGGCGGCGGGCGGGCACGGCGCACTTACGTCGAGCTCAAAGGTGCGCAGCGCTGTGCGATAGCCCCCGGACACCGGCGGCAGGAGGCGCAGCACCTCCTTGACCACGCAGTCGACGTAGTGCAGACGGCCCAGAGCCGCCAGGCTGAGGTCCGGCTCGCAGTCGCAGTCGGCCGGGGGCCCCGCGCCGCCCGCCGCGGCCCCCGCCGCGCAGCCGCACGCGCGCCCCAGCCCCTGCGCAGCCAGCTCGTGCCGAATCTTGGCGACTGCCGCGGGGTGCTGCAGCAGCAGGAGGACGAGGGACGTGCTAGCACTGGCCGTGGTGAAGAAGGCGGCGAAGAGAAGCTCCACAGCTGACTCCTGCAAGACAGCCGGGCTGCGCTGAGTCAGCCTGCGCGACCCTGGCCTCAAGGCCCACGGCCGAGAACCGCTGCGCAAAGGCCAGAGAGCCGGTGTGCGTTACTGGCTACGTGCGCGGGTTCCGGGGTCAACTGAATCCCCAATCTGCCACTTGGGAAAGCCACACATAGCAAAGGACAAACCCAGGATCTATCCACTGGCCTTGGGAGGGTTCCCAGGGATAATGCTAGGATTTTATTCTGTGCGCTCTTTGTGCTAACGTGTATTAACTCATTCGATTGTCATCCCAACCCTGTGAGACACAATTACCACACCTCCAAGAGGGGCTCAAAGCCCCTACAGCTGGTAGTCCCAGCAGCTGGCTCACGAGTCAGTGCTTGCAACCACCTGATGCAGCCTGAGCCCCAGCTGGGCGTCCTACAGCGACTACCCTGCCTTGCAATATTGGAAGGCACCTGCAGGGGCAGTCCCAGCCTCGCCCCCAGGCAGGCAGCAGCACCTCCCCCCACTTAGTAGAGTGGTCCCAACAAGTGACTGAACCTCTTCCTGGTCTGCACTGCCCAGGAAGGACAGGGGAAGGGCCTGTTTGTTCACCCTCCAGTCCCCAGCACTCACTGCCTACCTCTGCCCTAACTCCACATGTGAATTCCTTCCTGGCAGCACCCACCGTTTGCGTTTATACACTGACTGGTGTGAGCGGAGGATGAATACCCATCCCTGCACCTCAAGGGCAGGGGTTTGTGTTCTGTTCATTGCTGTATCTCAGTGCCAGCATGGAGCCTGACACCAAATAGGTGCATTATATTTGTGGAGTGAGTGAACTGGTCCATGGCCTGCCCTGGACAAGATAGGTAGCTGGGACAGAGACCGTGGGGCTCCAACATCCTCCCTGGTCAGGTCTAGTCTGCCTGGCCTGCCCCAGAGGCCCAGACCAGAACTGAAGATTCCTGGCCAGTGGGTCTCTTCCTGAGAAACTGGAGAGTGTTGTCACCCTCTCCCCAGCCCTGTCAAGGCAGAGAGACCATCTGCTCCTTTCCACATGGCTCCCCTTCACAGCCTGTAACTATTCCTGTCTGTGGGCTCTCCCAGCACTCATGAGCCCAGCGCTCATCTGCTTCTAACCACCTTGACTCTTCCAGAACTCACCACCCAGGAGTCAGAGATTATTAGCCCCATTGTCCTGAAAAAGAAAAGAAACTAAGGCTGAGTCCCACCCTTTCTGGTGGAAAGTGGAAAATTGAGGCCCAGAGAAAAGATGGGAGCTGCTTTTATAAAGGTCGAGGTGTTTCCATTTCTAACTTTCCCCTGCCCCCCAACCTCTCCATTCCTTTTTAGCTCCTCAACCAGGTCCCATCCTTACCTCCATTGCATGTGCTCTATGCATACATGAGGAGGGTTCTATTACTCTGGGAGATCCCGCAGTAGCAAAACCAGCAGGTAGAGGTGCCAGGTGCCAAGGTGGCTCATGGAATGAGAGTGTCAATTTTAGGACAAAGAGGGGAGCTTTCAGGGAGGGTGTAAAGTTTGACCCTGAGCCTTTAGGGTTCGTAGTAAAAGGAGTAAGGGAGGCTTCATAGGCAGGGGGACAGCAAAGGCAAAAAGCATGGAGTGCCAGAAAAGGGGAAGAGGGCAGCAGAGCTGTCGGTGGCCAGAACCTGTAAGGAAGGGCCTAGAATTCATGCCTTCTACGCTTCCACTGAAAGGCAGGGTGACTGGCCCAAGGCCACAGAGCTAGTGGGTATGGCTGAGCACAACTGGAACTCAGGTCTCCTCTTTCTCTTCACCCTGAGGAATGCCTGTGGCTTAAAGTGGGGCCAAACATTATGTGCTCCAGGGATGTAGCACGTGTGTAGAGACCTGCTAGAAATGCAAAAGGGGGAAAAAAGAGAAACCTCCCACCACCTACCTTCAGCTCCTGAACTGAAAGCTCATGGCCCAGCTCCCTGGTGTTATGAATAATCAGGTCAAGGGCATCATGTGGCTCTGTAGCCTTGTCTTCCTGAAGCTTCTCTGCAATGGCCTCTTCCAGGAGCTGATGCAGCTGGTCCCGTGCCCGGATGCCCTGATGTGCATGCAAGGAGACAGCAGAACTGGGGCAGGAAGACTAAGGGAGCCATGCCTGCACACTTACCCCAGAAACAGGGCTCTCTGGTTCTGCGGAGATCTTTGCATTAAGTTTCCCAGGTTAGCCCCTGCATGCACATAGGGGCTTAATAAATGCTTGGGAATTTGTCCACTATCCCTACACATCTTTCTCTCTTGATTATCACAATCTCCCTTCCAGGCAAGGCAAACAGTTACTGTCATCTAGAGGGAAGGATGCTGAAGCTCAGAGAGGTCAAATGATTGTCCAGAGTCACACAGTTGTCAGTGCCCATGCCTGGCACAGAACCCAGTCCAGGCGGGGTCAGTTAATTGCCCTTTCCCTGCAAGAGGATCAGGCAGGGGCTGTAGGGCACTAATGCAGAGAAGGGACACCCCGAACCCAGAAAAGCTCTGGTTTAGAGTATGCTATTGGATGTTCTAAGCATTAGTCTCTGTAAGGGAGTAGGCAAGAGGACTGTAGTAGTTCAGGCAGGCACAGCAAAGCTTGGGTTTTGCAGAGGGGAACCAACATCCTCCCTGGTCAGGTCTAGTCTGCCTGGCCTGCCCCAGAGGCCCAGACCAGAACTGAAGATTCCTGGCCAGTGGGTCTCTTCCTGAGAAACTGGAGAGTGTTGTCACCCTCTCCCCAGCCCTGTCAAGGCAGAGAGACCATCTGCTCCTTTCCACATGGCTCCCCTTCACAGCCTGTAACTATTCCTGTCTGTGGGCTCTCCCAGCACTCATGAGCCCAGCGCTCATCTGCTTCTAACCACCTTGACTCTTCCAGAACTCACCACCCAGGAGTCAGAGATTATTAGCCCCATTGTCCTGAAAAAGAAAAGAAACTAAGGCTGAGTCCCACCCTTTCTGGTGGAAAGTGGAAAATTGAGGCCCAGAGAAAAGATGGGAGCTGCTTTTATAAAGGTCGAGGTGTTTCCATTTCTAACTTTCCCCTGCCCCCCAACCTCTCCATTCCTTTTTAGCTCCTCAACCAGGTCCCATCCTTACCTCCATTGCATGTGCTCTATGCATACATGAGGAGGGTTCTATTACTCTGGGAGATCCCGCAGTAGCAAAACCAGCAGGTAGAGGTGCCAGGTGCCAAGGTGGCTCATGGAATGAGAGTGTCAATTTTAGGACAAAGAGGGGAGCTTTCAGGGAGGGTGTAAAGTTTGACCCTGAGCCTTTAGGGTTCGTAGTAAAAGGAGTAAGGGAGGCTTCATAGGCAGGGGGACAGCAAAGGCAAAAAGCATGGAGTGCCAGAAAAGGGGAAGAGGGCAGCAGAGCTGTCGGTGGCCAGAACCTGTAAGGAAGGGCCTAGAATTCATGCCTTCTACGCTTCCACTGAAAGGCAGGGTGACTGGCCCAAGGCCACAGAGCTAGTGGGTATGGCTGAGCACAACTGGAACTCAGGTCTCCTCTTTCTCTTCACCCTGAGGAATGCCTGTGGCTTAAAGTGGGGCCAAACATTATGTGCTCCAGGGATGTAGCACGTGTGTAGAGACCTGCTAGAAATGCAAAAGGGGGAAAAAAGAGAAACCTCCCACCACCTACCTTCAGCTCCTGAACTGAAAGCTCATGGCCCAGCTCCCTGGTGTTATGAATAATCAGGTCAAGGGCATCATGTGGCTCTGTAGCCTTGTCTTCCTGAAGCTTCTCTGCAATGGCCTCTTCCAGGAGCTGATGCAGCTGGTCCCGTGCCCGGATGCCCTGATGTGCATGCAAGGAGACAGCAGAACTGGGGCAGGAAGACTAAGGGAGCCATGCCTGCACACTTACCCCAGAAACAGGGCTCTCTGGTTCTGCGGAGATCTTTGCATTAAGTTTCCCAGGTTAGCCCCTGCATGCACATAGGGGCTTAATAAATGCTTGGGAATTTGTCCACTATCCCTACACATCTTTCTCTCTTGATTATCACAATCTCCCTTCCAGGCAAGGCAAACAGTTACTGTCATCTAGAGGGAAGGATGCTGAAGCTCAGAGAGGTCAAATGATTGTCCAGAGTCACACAGTTGTCAGTGCCCATGCCTGGCACAGAACCCAGTCCAGGTGGGGTCAGTTAATTGCCCTTTCCCTGCAAGAGGATCAGGCAGGGGCTGTAGGGCACTAATGCAGAGAAGGGACACCCCGAACCCAGAAAAGCTCTGGTTTAGAGTATGCTATTGGATGTTCTAAGCATTAGTCTCTGTAAGGGAGTAGGCAAGAGGACTGTAGTAGTTCAGGCAGGCACAGCAAAGCTTGGGTTTTGCAGAGGGGACTGGGTTCGAATCCTGCTTCTGGCCCTGTTAGCTGTGTGACCTTGCCTAAGTCATTTAACCTCTCTGTGCTTGTTTCTCCATCAACAAAATGAGAAACTAATACACTTTGCAGGCCAAAAGGATTAAATCAGAAAATGTATCCAAGACGATCAGCCTGTAGTATGCCCCCTCTATACATAACTTATTTTTATTCAGGTAACTGAAAACCAGGGCAACAGCACAGTGAAAAGCCCCAGCTCAAGGAGAAAGGAAGGGCAAATGGGGCCTTCTACTGCTCTCTGGGCCCTGCCCATCGCTCTGAAGTCTGAAGAGGTCCTGCGGTTCTCTGATCCGGAAACTAGTGGGACCAGGGAGCCAGCCGGCATCCACCCCTCTACGGCCCAGCCTGGCGCTCGGCTGGGCCGGGACGCGTCCGCCGCCCTAGTGCTCCCATCGTTCCTGCCATCAGGCTTCCAAAGAGGCATCGGAGCCCCGGCCAGAAGGCGCCGCTCTGGGGTGGGGCTGGGCTCGCTGGCCCGGCGCCCGCCACCGAAACCCCAAATAGGTAAGCCGGCCGCTACGGCGGCCAGAGCGCGTCCTATCAGGGCGGCCCAGAGAGGGTGTGTGGCCTGCCCCGGGTCACACAGTGAGTCAGGACGGAGGTCAGATCCAACACCCACTGCCACATCACGCCACCTCCCCACTCTGGGCCGTGCCTCTATCTTCCAGCAGTGGTGACGAGTGGGGTGCGCCCAGGTCTGGTAGCCTCCCACCTATGCCAGGGAGCCCCAAGAGGAAAATCTGTAGCAGGGCGGTAGTACCTTGCGCAGGCCGCTGAAGGGTACATCCAGGGGCAGCGAGAAGAGATTGTCCACGAACTGCTCGAAGGTCCGGGCCAGCTCCGCGCACTGCGCGTCGTTCAGCCGTAGCCCCAGTAGGATGCGCGCGGCCATGCGAAAGGTGAGGGCTTTGGCGGCCTCGTAGACAGTGACAGGCCCGCGGCTAGCGCACCAGGAGCGCACCTCGCGCCGCAGCGCCCCCTGTAGGTGGGGAACGTAGCGCTCCAGCGCCGCGCGGCTAAACACTCGTGCTAGGACCTGTGGTGAGCGCCCGGGGTCAGCCCCGGCCACCGTCCGGCCTCCTCTGCTGGGTGATTACAGAGGAGCCAGAAAGCCAATTTCGGTGCCCTCTTCTTCTAAGCGGCCCAGACCCAAACGTGTTGGTTTTTGCTCTCACCATTCCCTCTAGTTCTGCTCTGATGTACACAGTCCCTTCCTATCCATCCAAGCTCCAGCCGCCACCTGCGTCAGGAAGTTATCCCTGACCCCTCTCCATGTTTGAGCTTTCAGCGCTTCTGGTATCAGAATCATAAAATCAGAGATGAAAAGACCTTTAAATCGCAGTCCTGGTTTTATAAACGGATGCGGGAGAAGGTAAGGGATTGGTTCAAAGCCACCCACTCGTTATCTAGGGGTCCCGGCCAGGTTTACAGTGTATCCCTAACACCTAGCCCCGGCCCGGCCCACTGCAAGTACTTGGGAACCACGGTTTGACATCTCGACAGCCGCTTCTCTGGTTTTGGCTCACCTTGCGCCGCTGCCGATGCGGCTCGCCAACCGCGCCAAGCAGTGTGTGCGAGCCAAGTAGGATGTGCGCACTCTGCGGCCACTGGCTGCGCACAAGGCGGTGCTCGCCCAGCAGGATTGTGCGCACGTTCTCGGCGCCGCTCACGCGGATCACCGGCCTGCCGAGCAGGTGCGTCTTGAACACTGTCCCGTAGCGCTCCCGGCGGGAGCTGTGGAAACGCGAGCCCTGTGAGCAAGGCAACGGGAAGAGCTCTTGACCGGGGCTGCTGGGCCTCGGCTGGGAATCTGGCCCAGGCCTCCCAAATGCCCCTTGATAACAATTCCCTGCTCCAGGCTGGCGCGTTACTCTTTAAGAGTCTCAAATGTCCTCACGATTACTCTATGGGGACGTGGATGTTCCTGGTCCCTTTGGTGACGTTAAGAAAGTGAAGCTCAGAATGGGGACGCGAGTGCCTGAAAGCTCATGAATGAGACGCGCCCCCGACTCCTGATTCTATGCTCGCAGGACACAGGGTGACATGCTTCTCAGACTTCTTGGGAGAACCCCTCTGTTCACCCCCGCGCTGTGTCGGGACGTGTTAAGAACTCCGGGGACATTTTGTTCCTTCAAGGGAGCAGCTGGGCAAAGGCGAGGGCTGTGTATGTTGTGGGCGACAGGAAGACTGGCTACGAGCCGTGGAAGCATTGAGAGCGAGGAGGGTCTAGTGGGAGCCAGGGGAAAAGGGGTCATTTTGGGGTGTGGGTATCTATGGACTACTCACCTGCACCAACCAGTGCAGCGTTTCGCCGAAAAAGGGCCAGCCCATGGAGCCCTTGGGCAGGGGCAGGGCGGAGGCCCGGTCCCGGCTCAACGTCCAGCGGAGGGTCCAGAGGTGCTGAGCCAGGCTGAGCAGCAGGCCGGCGCCGAGGAGAGCGCTGCCCACAGCCCCCAGCACCGACAGGCAGCTTAGCTCCCAGAGGAACATGGCGAACCTGCGGGGCCAGGCCGCTCCAAGCGCAGGGGTCGCCGGCACCGCGCGGTGCTCACCGGTTCTGTCTGGACAGGGCTTGGACACTTGGGGGCCAAAGCCGAGATTTATAACCTTGGACAACGACTTCGCTCTAAAAGTCGTGGAAGGCCGCAGCGACCACGCGCCCTTAGGTTACGTCCCTTCCTCAAGGCTGAGGCGCTCAGGACATTCCTCGGAGTCCGATGGCTTCCGGGCCAAAATGCCAGTCCCTTTTGCCGGGGTGCCGACAGCCTCGGGACCGTTCCAGCCGGGCATCCGCGGGCACCTCCCACCTCCTCCCGGAGTCAGCACTCCTTTGTAGAAGCAGCGAGGGAGGTCAAAGAAAGGAACAACTAACTCACCGGTGCGGCCAACTTGGGCTTCAATCACTGGGACTGGAGACCCCCTCCGTTAGGTCCCCGTCCCACCTCTCTCCCCTCCAGTCTTTTAACCCTTTCTGCCCACCCTGGACACATTTATATAGATATAGGCTCCCTCCCTACGGACTGCTCGCTATGCGCACGACGTGACGTGTCTATGCATATTTAAAGCGCTCCGCGCTGAGTATTGATTGGAGGCGGTGGGCAGCGGAGCTCGCCGAGGGGCGAGGAGTAGGGAGTGGCAGCCGCTGTTGCGCTTCTTCTGGGCTGGGGCCCGCGCCCCGCGCAGCAACTCGGACGGTCCCTGAGGTTTCGCGCCAGAATGTCCCATCTTCAAGCAGAAGCCCGGCAGGTGGGCGAACCGGGCGCCCCGAGCTAACACGGGCTCTCTCTGGGACCCTCACCCTCAAGCCCTTAGGCGTTCCTTCCCCTCTCGGGCATGCCAAGGTTAAAGGGCTGGGGTTCTCTCCCCTGCTTTGTTTCTCTTTCAGGAAAACTGCGGTCTTCGATGCCAGCCTTGGCATCGCAAGTGCCTACAAGGGATAGCCTGTAAGGGGTTGAGGTTCTCCGACATCCCCAACCCCTCTCCGGTCTCTGCTCTACTACTTCGAGAACCCTTCAAAAGATGCTAGAGTCATTGTTGCTCAAAGATTCAGAGACGCCTTAAGCCCATGAGAAGCAGATACCCCGGGGGACTTTCGGGTCTCAAGGACCGAATTCTCCCCACCCCACGCTCCGGAACCCCACCCTCACCCCACCCCGCCCCCGCCGCCCCAGTCAGTCTACACTGCTTTTCCGGCTAGTCTTCTCCGGATTTATGTGCCCCATCCGAGAGCTCCAAATGCCCCAGGACTTGAGCGTCCCTGTCCCTACGCCGCAACCCGAGGGGTGACGGTGGGGGTGGAGGTTGGGTGGCGGGAACGGGTATGTTAGGGTGCTCGGATCACTGAGAAGCGTAAAGTGAACTCAAGCCCATCACAGCTGGGGATCCACAGTAGTCTGCTTCAAACAGAGCAACGGCAGCGTCTCTCCGAATTCGGGGACGCCTCAGCCAAAGCCGGGGAGACATCTCCAGTGCCCGGCAGGGCTGGGTAAGGCACGCTAGAGGCAGCTGCATTCCAGTCTTCAGTGAGCTAGCTGCTCACCACTCCTCTCGTAACTTCCAGATTTTACTGTGCCTTAAGAATAACCATGTTTTCCATGTAATACTTTCAAAACGTGAAATACTTTAAGAGATGATCAAGAAAATAGAAAATAAATCCGTTATTTTCTTTTGCTTTGGTGACACTCCCATTCCAATAACTTTCTGAAGGAAGCTGTTTTAAATCAGGAAGATCTGAATAGATGCAACAGTAACGCATGTTTAACAACTTGCTCAACCTTTTTAATATTCATCACATAATCAAGAAATGTACATATAATTCTTTATACATACTTTACAGAGTTAAGTTTCATACAGGCATAAACCTTGAAAATGCAAAAGGAGTATTCAGCATAAATACAATGAAGAGAAAGTAAGGATCAGATTGACAGTTTTAACCATTTGGACCATGGTAATTTACACAAAGGAAAATGTACATTCGTTTTAGGTTCATTTGGTTTGGCTTGTTTCCAAAGTCCTCAGTGGTACTGGGACAAGGTTCTGGGATCTGCTATTTGAAGCAAGTAACCTGACCCCTGTGTTAACTTCTGTGTATGGGAACATATGTGCTGGAGCACAAGCTACGTTAGGCCCACTTAGTTTCTGTCCTCTCTTATAATTTCAACCAAACCAAACCAAATAAATCCTAAAACGGGGTCAGCTACAAACAATGGAGTTAAAAATATTAATCCTGCCGAACAGAAACAACATTGTATCTTTAGAGATTCCAAACACCCTTTCTTCATATTCAGGATGAGAACAAATAATTCACATCCCTAATAAGTAAAATCAAAATTGATTTCCCGGAGCTTTGAAGATGTATCTATTCCCCACTCAGAATAAACAGTATTAGAAAATTTAATGTATTTAAATCACATTGAGGTGAAAATAAAAGCTGAAATTTAGAAAATGACAGTGAAATACTTTCATGTTAGACATTGCATTCCAAACCCAGATACTGATGAAAGAACAGAGATCATTCAAGTCTGAACAGAAAAAACTACATGTAGAGGCATAAGTTTTCTAATGTATTTACAATCAGTTTCATAAACAATTTTTTACCTGATAAATGTAATACAATTTTGCCTTTTCCCCTAAAAGCGAAAAAAGTTAATGCCATGTTTTCCATATATAAAATAGTATTCATTTAAAAATCCATACAAATGATATTATTTCCTGTTTGAGGTCTCACCCGTGTCTTTTCTCTATTGTAGTCTTGAATTTTGCAAGCAAATTACTGTATCGTGCCTGTTAGAGAGCAATGTTGAGTCAGATTTGGTGTCACTGAATGTAAGCGATATGACGTCTATGTGTGTTGCAACATGCCATTCACCAAACTTCTTAGCTGTTTTACGACTGTCTCTATCAGCTTCTGTTTATCTCGATCATTCTTCCTGAACTGAGCAAATATATTGTTCTTTTTGCTAGTATCCTTCATCCTGGGAATATAGGTTAATGAAGAAGCTTGGTAAAAGGAAATTCAAAACTATGCTGTCACAAGTAAAATATCTTAGCATGCTTTAAATTTTCTAGCACTAATCCTATGCTTGAGAAATATACATAAAAGAAAATAGGTACTAATAAAATCACAGAGTTAACAGCCACACACAAAAAAATAGCAGATTTTACATTCTATATGAACTGGAATTTTTTGCATTAGTATGTAAATCTAAAGTATGTTAAGATTTCTGATATACTTTTTTCTAATACCATTCCATAAAGTATGCTAAAATACATACCCTTTATGGACTCTGCAAATCACATTCATAGCAAGACAAGGTGAGAGGAAAAATAACATTAGAAAATTTTAAGCAGCGATTTTTTTTTTGCCTCAGTGGTATTTCATGGCTTTATAAAATATATTACATTTACATTCATTTTAAACAGCTCCTTTTGTCCTCTCAAATCAAATAGACCACAGATATTTTGAAATGTGGGAAAATAATATACACTTTTAATTCAGAAATTGAAAAATTTAATAGTGATATTTAAAATTACATGGATTGAAAAGAAAATCTGCCACATTATGAGAGAGAAAAGTAACACCTAACTTGTATTATTTTAAACTGGACAACATGTACCAGTAAATGTCCTGTTACTTCACTTTTTACTATATTGTTTTTCAAAACATGTATTTTCTATGTGCAAAGAATCAAAGTCCATTATGGTAGGATTTAGATAGCACTGGTGGCAAACATTCCGATTCCTATCCACGTTTTACCTCCTCTCCTGTGTTACAGTATTTTTTAAAAAATGGTTTTAAAATTCTCACTTATCTCCAGTAAACAAATTTCTGTGGCAAGTTAAGTATGCTATTGAGGATATGATGGGGAAAATGTTTTGTTCATATCAACATAAACAGCAATCTCATATAAAACTCCACCAATACAGAAACGCAAAGAAGAAAAGAGGTGTATGTTTGGTGATTAAAATGGAATGAACTTCAAATTTGGACATTTTCTCTTTTGATGAAAATCTCCAGTTCTTCAATTATCACTGAATCACAAAATTCTAAAATGTTATGCAAAAAAGGTTTTCAGAATATACTCACTTCTCTAAGAGAGTAAGGGCTGTGCTTGGATTCACCCGAAGGTACTTGGAAGCTGGCTGTCCATAATCAGCTAGGTAAGTAGACCAATCCCAAACCATAAACAGATCTAGGAGCTGAAGAAGATGGGGAAAAATGTTAAGCCAACTTTGCCTATTTGCCCATAGCTAATAGGTAAAGTATATGCCATTCTTGATCCATTTTAATATGATTGGCTTTTTAGATGGAACAGAATAAGAAATTCATTTTTAAAACTTCATTACCTACACTTTACAACCAAAATAGTATATACTATCTTTTTACTTTTGAAATTACTAAACCTGTCAGGAGTTGCTTTCCTAATAAAATTCTTGCTTTTTCATTTTCAAATGATTGTAAAATAATGAGAAGTTAATATAATTACACTAACACTTGTACTGATATATACAGATTTAATATTCACACACTCAATTCACACTCAGATTTAATTACTAAGAGTTGGTGCTACTGTTTGAAGAATTTTAAATAACTTAAATTGAACCTTTTTTCTTAGAGATTAAGTATGCTTACCTTTCAAAGAAGCTGTTTGCACCTAGACTTTTCCCAAAGTAACTTAAACCAAAAACTCAGATAATCTCAATTAAGTGCATTAGACAACCTCTGCTGGATTCTCTCTGGTGATAGATCCTCAGTAGTATTATGAGATGAGGACTTCAGTAGTCAGCCTGTTAACTGTAGGCCATCATTTTGTATAAACAAATAACAACAAAAAAGAATCCCTTCATTTTCCATAGTGTTTCAAAATTGACTATTTGCTTTATAATCTCCAGCTAGAATTGTTGTCAAATATGGAAGTAATCTTTTAAAAGCAATGCCATGCCTAAACCAAAGCACCAAACTCCTTATCCAACTTTAAAACCCTAATCCCCTCTAAGCCATTTAAAACCAACTTCCTATCCCCATTTGAATTGTTTCAGAAAGCTAAATGTTTTACTTACTACCTTCCTTCAGGTACTATATTATTCTTTCTTTTTGTTTTAACTCACTTCATAAGTAAGGGGTGTATTTCAAATAAAGGAAGCATTCTATTTACTCATAGGATATGTGAGCCAACCCACTGACTCTGAGAAGGATAAACTTCTGGGGTGATTAAGACCTAAACAAAGGTTACAAGAAACTAGCTCTTAGGAAGGTAACACTTGTTTGACTCTTTTCCCATCCAATATATGTCTATTAATAGAGACTTTCCTGTAAAAGGAGGAAAATTCTATAATGAAAATATTAACTACTAATATTAAAAGCTAGTTTATTTTCTTTTGGACATTTTAGGCCATAGCAAAAGTTAAAACACTGGTACAAAAACTACATTGAGAAAACATTAAAAGAATATACTGTCTGCAAAGGAAAAGGGAATTTAGAGTTCTGTGTAATTTTTGACCGTTGCTTGGCAATATGTACATTTCCCTTCCTTTCACAAGGAGGAAAAGTTACTTGCATACACCCCGACAGTGACAACATAAATTGGTACTTCTCTGGAATGTGATTTTGTAGTATTTATTTAAGAACCTCATAAAAATGGCTATTCCTTTTGACTTAGTAATCCTACTTTAAGAATCAAAACTTCAGGAAACAAGAGAGGTAGACAAAAATTCATGAACAAAGATATTAATCTCAAAAATGTTATTGGTGTTATCAAAAAACTGAAGAAAAAAATCCAACTGAAAACAGCCTAAACCTCAAGAGAATGATTAAGTAGTGAGGTGTATGTACCTACACGTGTAAGATAAATATCACATGATTATTAAAATTGATGTTTACATAGAATTTTAAATAGCATGGGAAGATGTTTATGATAAATGTTGCTACATAAAAACTCATAAAAAAAGACTGGAAGAAAATTTGGGAAAATGTTAAGAATGGTTGTTACTTGTGTGGTGGGATTATGGGTAACTGTTATTGTCTTCTTTATTTTCATAATATTCCACAATGGACATGTATTAACTCTTGAGTTAGAAATGAGGTTTATATACTTAAAAATTAAAATAAATTTCAATAATGAATACACAACTGATAACAAGGCCTCATTTTGAAAGATTCCTCTTTCAGGTATATGCTTGCACACGTATGTGTAGGCATGTGCACAGTCAGCAGTTAAGCAGCCCCTTAATATACTGGCTACAATTTCCCTTTCTTTCTAAAAGGCATTAATGACATGACCTTTGGGATTTAGAAGAAAAAGAGGCCTTAAAATAAGTCTCTTTTTTTCTTGGGCTGATCTACCCCTGGTGGGAAAGGAGGATCCCCTTTAGTGAATTAAAAACCTATACCAACTCCAATTGTGAATACACAACTGGTTCTTCTCCAGCACAAAAATAAACTTACATAGGTAAAGAAGTATTATGCTTACCATTTTCACATACAGCAGACAGATCTTTTGTCTCTTACCACTAGAAATTACAGGAACCACAAAATTTAACCTACCTTCCCACATGCAGACAAATCTCATCTATATGCTTCCAAATTTATATACTATTTACAGAAATATTGTGCATAGTTAACTTGTAGCTACTTGTGAAATCTGCATAAATTTGCACATTAATGTTGAGGAATGCATTGCCAATGTGGCTAAAAGGGCCAAGGATCTGGATAAGAATCATTTATTTTTTCAACAAATATTGGCTGCCTACCTAGAACATGCTAGCTACTGTGCAAGGAACCTTTGACACAGTATCAAATGAGACAAGGTCCCTGTCCCCAAAGAGTTTATATGTAAGTGGAGAAAGTTGGGAGGTGGTTAACAAGGAGACAAGTAATACCTGGATGTTAACATGAAGAAATTATAAAGACAAAAACTATTCACACAAAATCCTAGTAATCTAAATTACAAGTAACATAAGAAGAAGCTACTATCAATTTGATATTATCTAAGATAGAAATGACCGATTTATGTAGTGTTAGTGACCGCCTGCTCATTATTCTCAGCCCTTGACTCTTTTAGTGGCTATAGACATGTGTACCATTACAGTGTCTATGTCCCAAAGGATACATGGGTGTGGATGGAAAGGAAAAACAGGACCAGAAAGCATGCTGATCTCATATTCTTATTTCATATTCCCATGTGTGTAAGGTTTTTTCAAATGCATTATATTCCATTTAGTGTAAACAGAAATAAACTTCACAAAGCTAGGCAGCCCAAATCATATAATGTGTCCAGCACAGTGTAACCACTCAGTAGATAGTCAAGAAATAACTGATGATGCAAGGCCACTCTTACAAGTTTACCTGGGTGCTTTTTCCCTAGGCTTCAAGAGTACCCACTACCCTGGCTTATACTGACAGTTCTCTGAAAAAAGACAGTGTCGGCCTGCAAGCAAACTAAGGCCAGTAAATGCAGTCAAATGACTGCCTTCCATCGCCCCCAGACTTCACTGGGGCATAAAGAGGATCAATTCCTTCATGATAAAGCATTGGATCTAATGTTCTAAATGATCACGAGTATTTCTGAATGGTCTACCTGTCCTTTACCCATAATAAGGTCCTTTTGACTTCTCTTTATTCAAGTATAATTGCCATACAATATCCTATTAGCTTCAGATGTACATTATAATTTGATACTTTTATATATTGCAAAATGATCCCCACCATAAGTCTAGTTACCATCTGTCACCACAGTTATTATAATATTATTGGCTATATTACCAATACTGTATATTATATCCCTATGACTTATTTTATAATTAGAAGTTTGTACCTCTTAACCACTTTTGCCTATTTCTCCTATTCCCTGAACCTCTCCCTCCTCTGGTAACCAACAGTTTACTGTATCTATGAGTCTGTTTCTGTTTTGTTTGTTCATTTATTTTTTGATTCCACATACAGGTGAAATCATAAGTCTTTCTCTGACTTATTTCACTTAGCACAATAACCTCTAGGTCCTTTCATGTTGTCACAAGTTAGCAAGATTTCATTCATTTACACAACTGAGTAATATTCCATTGTGTATATATACCACATCTTCTTTATCCATTCATCTATTGATAGACAATTAGGGTGTTTCCATACCTTGGCTATTGTAAATAATGCTGTAATTAACAAAGGGGTACACATATCTTTTCAAAGTACTGTTATTTAACGGCTGGATAATACAGTAGTTCTACTTTTAGTTATTTAAGGACCCTCCATACTGTTTTCCATAATGGCTGCAGCAATTCACATTCCCACCAACAAGGCTTGAGGGGTCCCTCTGCTCCACATCCTTATCAATGCTTGTTATTTTTTGTCTTTTAGCCAATCAATAGGTGTGAGGTCCTATCTCACTGTGGTTTTGATTTATAATTTACTAATGATGTGATGCTGAGCATCTTTTCACATGCCTGTTGGCCATCTCCATGTCTTCTATGGTAAAGTGTCTATTCAAGTTCTCTGTCCATTTCTTAATTAGGTTGCTTTTTTTAATATTATATTGTGCAAGTTCTCTAGATATCTTGAATACTAAGCCTTTATTGAATGTATGATTTGTAAATATCTTCTCCCACTCAGTAGATTGCCTTTTCATTCTGTTGATAAGTTACCTTCATTGTACAAAACCTCTTTGGTTTTGATGTGGCCCCACTTTTTCATGTAAAGTTTTTTTTTTTAAAGTACAGTTCTACTGAAGCAAAAGATGTAACACAAAACTAGGGCATTATTCCTGGCTCCTACTGAATACTATGCCAGGCCAAACTCATGGACTGAGCCCATTTCTCTAGGCTGCTACCTATACATGTTTTGAACAAGAAGTATAATTACTGATGTTTGGGATGGTTGAAGAAGAACATGACTGCTCTGGAGCCGGAGTGTGCCAGTAAGGGACAAGGCAAGTGGAGTGGTGCTAGGTACAATCACGACACTCACCTTCACTCCACACTGTCTCATGTATGGTCAGGTTTCACAAGATGCACTATGCTTTAATATTAAAGCCTCAATTATTGAAAACCTCACTTCTCTATCTCTAGTTTTGCTTCCCACAGATGGCAGTACACAGACAATATAGTCTGTCATTAATCACACAGAATCTCTCAGTTTTGTAAATAAACAGTAATACATGGTCTCAACAGGTGAATTTATTAGTGAACACATATAACTGAAATTCAAAGAA